TCCTCCTCCTCCTCCTCCTCCTACTTCTTCTTCTTCTGATATTGTCAATGATTCTATAGGATGATGAAAGTAGAAATCGACATTAGAAAAGAATACATGTACTAATTATTCATTTGAATAATTTTTCTTCCCCCTCCCGGCAGAGTCACAAAGATTGACGGTTAGATCTGACATAACAGAGTTCGAGACAGCCATGATTGACCTAAGAAATCCCCAGTTTGTCATGAAAACGAGATTGGCGGCTTACGGAGCCCTCATCTTTTTCAGTTTTTTCATTTCAATCGGCATTAGCCAATCAAAGGTTCACTTACTTTATTTTTGCATGTGTTTGTCCAACAATTTGCCATGGTGAAACAGCGACTTCTGCCAATACCCGCTGACAGCAAAGATAATGTAGGTCTGTGGTAACTCTCAGTGTTGGTGCAAGCCCCATACACACATGCACACAATACCCCTCCCCCCTCCCATTAACCCAACAAAGCTAACAATATTATAACGTTTTTGATGAGCTAAGGGAGGCGTAGTTGCGTAGTTCTCACTTACTGTCCAATATGTACCTGCCTTTGTGGTATGTATCGGTTAGGCGCTTCACCGTCGCAAGCAGTCCGATTTCCGTGTGGGCTGAATTTTTATCGAGTATCTCGGTCTGTCTGGGTGGATATTGTATTCTTCTGAGCCTTTGTTGGCCCTGACAGGCAATGTCGAAACCCGCCTCTTTTAATGATCTAAATTGTGTGGATAGGTGCGTAAAACACCTACAATATTTCCCCCCCCAAAAATAATTCAAAATGTCCACAGTTTCTATTAACATTTAAAAGACATCAAGAGTGCACCAAAACAAAATGATTTAAATACAATATGGAGTGTCATTGACATCAACATACAAATACAAAGGCATATCGAAAAATCTGTCTACGTGTGTGCCAGAAGAATACACACACTTGAAATTCGCTAAGTTCAGTTTTTTGAGACCTCGTGCTGAACGTCACACTGACCCGGTGGCAGAGAGTACCCTTAAAATAAAATGATTCTCACTTCACTTTTTTACGAGTACTATAAATTACAAACTTGTCTCTGTTAGATGTTTCATTGCTCGTGATGCTTGGTTATTGTCTTGTCTGTTTTTGGTTGTAGGTCGTATCGTACGCCGTGCTGTATTGAATGTTGAATAAAACCTACCAAAAGGTCATACCAGACTGCGTGTTTGAAAATTGTATCTTGAAGACTCTCTTATTTCATGGAGAATTGAGTTACACACTGCACACTACTGGCACAGATGCCCTGAACAATCTGACTTGTATTTTTTTTCCATATGACGCTTAACAAATAAGACGTAAAAACATGAACTGGAAGAGTGCGAATCTTTGAAATCCCCCTTTCTCAAAATTATGCGTCATGGAGTTAGAATCCTGTCATCCTAAGGGCGCGAGTGGTGATTTCTATAGAAAGTGTATGGTTGTGAACCACCTAGCCAGTATTTCCCTACACAAAAGTGTATGGGTGGGCAACACCCGGTTGGAAACGCCATACGTATTTTTGAACCGGTGAGAGCCACCACACATTCAGCATATGAATATTTTTTAAATGGATCACAGACTTAAATACACCAAATTTGAGGATTGCATAGAAGCACAACTGGGTGGATTGAACGCATTCGGAGTTGTGTCTTTACAAAGTGGTCAGGAGGGTGTAGTACACCAAGCTGGTGGGGAAAGGGATAATTTTTCTCTTTATTCTGGGTTTGGAAAAGAGAGGGTGGAGATATGGGGTAGGGAGGAGGGGGGGGGGGCGAGGTTGGAATTTGCAAAGGGTACCTTTGGTATTTTACTGGCTGTCAAAAATTCTTTTCCTTAAATCACGCAGAAGGTAAATCCAAATAGGATAATAATTATTGACGAAAACAACAGAAACTTCATCCCATACTTGTCTACCCCTCTCTCCCCCGCCCCTATTACTTTAAAGTTTCTTCTCCCAGTCTATCTCTAATCAAAGTATCTGTCTGTCTGTCTGTCTGTCTGTCTGTCTGTCTGTCTGTCTGTCTGTCTGTCTGTCTGTCTGTCTGTCTGTCTGTGTTGGCGTATTGACTCCCCCCTCCCCCTTTGTAGAACCAATATGCTAATGCTATGAAACGTTCGGAACAATTTTGTCTTTTTTTGAAAGTATGATTGACACTCGTTTTTTACGATCTCTGTGATGCTATATGATGTCATTATAATGGGCTGAGAGCATTTCTTTAGAGTTTAAAACAGTACAATGGTCATCGTCTGCATTGCGTGGTAAATTCCCATTACTTTTCCAAAGGGTAACTTGGAGAGGCAGGGTTAATAAAATGGCCAGTTATGGACTTTTTAAAAACCACCAGCATATTGTAATTTCCTTTACTCCCAACACTCTGCATTTATTGGTATGCACAATTTCATTATTTATATTCTTAAAAAGAAAGATTAAAGTTAGTTATTAGTGACTGAGATGATGCGTGCCCTTTGGAAGTTATAAGTATTGCTTGTAAAATCTAGTCATAAAGGAAAATAATGTTTTGTTCGACAGAGCAACACAGGTGACTGTATCCTGTTTTACGATGGAACTAAAACCGGCCAAAACAGTAACTGCGACTTCACAACAGCCATAGCGATCATATTGCAGTTGTTGTTTTTGCTGTTTCGAGTGGTAACACTGTTCCTGGTGTTACACGGTACAGTTGGTACTGAGTAAGTTCACTAAGAAATCCTCTTCATCTTTGTTTTTCCCCTGTTTGATCTCAGGTGTTGTCCACTGCTGGTTCTTCAGTACAGATAGAACCTTTTCAATTTCATAAGACGCGGTATGAATGCCTGTTTACCATGGGAACGTTTTGCAGGAATAACAGCCCACCAATAACAGGAGGGAGATATGGACTGGTTGCACTTGTTTAAAGAAAACTGGAAGAGGGGTGTGTGGGGAAGGCTATTGCTATGTCATTGTGAAATGGATCAACCATATCAGATTTAGAAACTTAGGGCATCAGGAGTACAACACCCTACTAAAGTATAATACAGCATCATAATATATCATAAGATAAGATAAGATAAGATAGTACTTATATCATATGAGGATGTGCTCTCTTTCACCAAAATACGTTAGCTCAGCAGATAAAATTATGCCTTCAAGGGTTTTTTCGAGTTAAAAGCTGGCGTTAAAGTCTTCATGCAGAAAGATATTATGATGGCTGTTCTTCTGCTAAGTGATACCAAAAGGGCTCGTGGACATAGAATCTACCTTTTTTTAACACCACACGTGTCCGAATAAGAATTCATAAGGTCAGGGGCAGCTTGTTGGAGCTGACTATGAAGTGTCAGGGCATTCTCCACAAAACTTACGTTACAAAAAGCCCATTTTTCTCCGACAAACTTTTCAGCGACTGGAATGACTTGTGTCGGACCGAATTTAGCACCCATTTAACACAATTCGTACCGGATTCCAGCGGGGATCGAACACAGAACTTCTGGATAACTAAGGGAGTGTCATTCCATCTTCACCATAAATGCACCATTTTTTTGGAGGGATGGGCTCTACATGCAGTCACACCCAACTCAAACGAACACGCATTCCTAATGTCTCTAGCACTCCAGTAGGTCAGTTAGTATCACACTAAACTAACCTGGGATATTGCCTTGTTTGTGTACTCAACGCGACCAATTTAAATTTGGGGTTTTCAAGTCTTTTAACCTGCTCTGGTTGGTCTTTTAGCTAACAGTTACTGTCAGATCACTTTATAAATTTGAATTAAAATACATGTATCCTAAACAGGGCACTGTCATAGCCATAGCCGCTACTCATCGCTCTCTTTAAAGCTTCGCTGAGCTGGTGCGCACCATTGGCGCGCAAATAGAAAGGCAAAACATTAATCTTGCTATCGAGTTGAATGCGCGCGCAAACTTTCCATTTTACACTATTCGAGGGGGGTTCAATAAATCTTTGATCTGGGTGTGAAGGAATCATGGCAGAGTAATGAAATTTCGCCAGCCTTTAGACGATTTCTCTGGAAAATACCATGCAAATGTTCGGGAAAATCTGACAACAATAAGGCACTAGTCACCATGTTTAATGAAACCATGCACAAAAACGTTTGGTTTTTCTTTGCTAAAGCTGTGCCATGGAGCCTGTTGGACATCGGTCAGTTATCAAGTTCTTACACAAGCAAGGAAAATCCCCTTTGGACATTTTTCAAGAAATGCTCCAAGTCTATGATGACGAATGTCCTCGTCATAATACTGCGACATACTGGGAAAGACAATTCAAATCTGGATTCATGTCGCTGAGGGATGAAAATCGTGAGGGGCGTCCATCCTTTGTGATAACTGAAGAGAATGTATCCATAGTGAAGAAACTGGTTCTACAAGAACGATGTATCGCTGTTTAACAGCGCTCAAGTGAAACGAGAATCAGTGTAGAGTCAATTGAAACGATTCCCCATGACCATCTTAACATCAATAAGGTGTCTTCACGGTGGGTACCCCGCCTTTTGACATGTGAGCAAAAGAAGCAGATGGTTGAGTCTTGCAAAACGCTCCTTCGAATTGAGTCTATTGACACAAATTTCTTTAAAAACATCGTGACTGTGGATGAAACATGGATTTATCGTTTTGATTCAGAACAAAAAAATGTTCTCCATGCAATGGAAAAACCCTTCTTCTCCCTCACCAAAGAAGGCAAAAGTAATGCCGTCAAGCGGAAAGGTCAAGCTGTCGTGTTTCTGAGATTGTAAAGGTATCATCATGACTGACTACCTGGAAAATGAAAAAACAACAACAAACCAGTCACCGGAGACTACAACTCGGGTTTGCTGATAAAATTGTGGTCCGAATTGGAGAGAAAAACGTGTAGAAAACTAAGTAATGGGGTCCTCCTACTGCATGACATCGCCCCTGCGCACAGGGCACAAACAAGCAGTCCAGACAGCAGAATAGTGCGGCTTTGAAATCCTGCAACACCCAGCTTATTCACCAGACCTAGCCTCCTCATACTTTTTTGTTTCATAATCTAAAAAAAATCACTCAAAGGACGTCATTGAAGGTGTTGAAGACTGCTTAGGGGCTCATTCTGGGTCATTTTTCTGTCAAGGACTTTTGAAGGTCAATGAGAGGTGGCAGAAATGTTTTACTCTGCGTAGTGACTATGTAAAGAAATAAAAGTATATGTGCCAAGTTACAAAGCTCTATCTTTATTCCTTCATATTTAGACCAAAGACTTCTTGAACCCCCCTCGTATGTGCAAATACATACAAGTTGTAAAATTAATCTTCTTGAACTGGTTTTGAGGATCATAATGACATAATCATGCCAGCTAATTATATACGTACAACAAAGTCAGTTTTCAAAATTGCAATTTTAACCGTTTTGAATCTCTCTCACTTTCAGAAATTCTCATTACAAAACAGTTGTTCTTACTTGGAAAAATGGGTAATGGTCTACTTAAACCCCTATTCTTTAAATACGACAATGACGTCAATGCCATCCCATGTCAACTCCCTCCCCATCCCCCCCCCCCTCTTCCCCCCTCTTTCCCCACTCCATTCTATGTATCCATATGTCGTTCCGAATCCAGGGTTGACACAGTGGCCCTGTAGAAAATAAAAAGTGAAGCATCGTGGCGAAACCATGCATTCGTCAAAATAATGAAATCGAAGAAATTTGCATTTTCTGTCCGTTTGGCAATTTTTATCGATTTTTTGTTTTTTGGCTCATTTAAAAAGCATTTCTGTGGGGATTTTCGTGAAAATGTCGATTTAAGGTACAAAATATAAAATGTAAGTCTCTAAAGGACTCTCAAGCTTTGGAAGTCGCTCCACTTTGGCGGTCATTTTCTAGATAATTTTACCCCTGAAACCAGGCGACCCCCTACTTCTTTCTATCGCAAATGTCTAGACTTCTATTCATGATAGATGAATACTGTTTTCACCGAATGCAAGACAAAAGAACAAGCTTTAAAATGATACCAATAACTCCACATGTTCAAAAATTAACGAGTGCCTGATTCTACCGCGTCGTGACATGTACTCATTGGTATCATCATCTCGATGGTTATTCTGGTGTCTTTTCAGTCACACGCTGTTTTCGGACACAATGGAGCAGGCGTACGTTGCTATTGATTTCATAGCTTTCGTGTTGACCTTTGCAGGAGCTAGTATTCTGTCCCCCGGAGTAGGTGAAACGTGTGAAAACATGTACGTATAACTCTACAGGACCTGGCATAACTCGCCCCTTCTCCTCCTCCTCCTCCTCCTCCTCCTCCTCCTCCTCCTCCTCT